AGACACAAACTACCGCATTTTATAAACCCGAAAGGTTAACTACCGTGTTTTTGAACGCCACTACGATCAAGCGCGATATTTAACCCTTTTAAAGTCCAGTGATAACTACGTATATGTGCCACGTGTTTTAAGAATCAGTAACTTTACTTTCCTATGATTCTCATAACAAACAGCGATTATATCCTTAACAGAATTAACCAGCTGACCTTCGTAACGGTAAAGTCCCGTGTACGTGATCACTAAATGAAATAACTTCGAAGAAAATGCTGGAAAAATAAAAGATCATTTACGTTCGTTATGACGCGGACCAGCCAACATCAGAAAGGAAACTGCTTGCATTCAATCATTCATTTGCGTGATGGCCGACATCTTAAAAAAGAGTTTGTTCAAATGAATTTTACTTGCAAGTAACGGAGAAAGTGATCAGACATCAACAATTCCTAACCTTCAAGCCTACTTTTCTATCTGTACACCGTTTAAAACCAATTCTCAACGATCTCGAAAAATTTCGAAATTCAGAAGTGACCTGAGACTTCTGTTCGGGGAGTCCCCCGGTTATCCCCAGGAAGACTGTAAATTAAAACAATAATCTTAATTAATATAACCCCTTATACCACATACAACAACGTGACGGGATCATCCACAGGGGGTCAAAACGGCTGCAGTGTGAGTCTGACCATCTAAATTCGACATCTGGAATATGTCGGTAAATTCGGGCTGCTACCATACCGACACAAACGCCAAAAATAATATAACAATCGATTGGAAAGCCTGAGGTCAAGGTAAAATGGTTGCATGTCTGTCGGGCGGTTCGCGTAAGAAAAAAAACACGAAATTCCTTGTTGTGTCCGTAGACATTTTCTGTCTTTTAATCACGACAAATATTCAACATATAAAATTAACTGGTAGCCTCGTTGGAGCAGAAATAAAGACTTTTTTTTTGAGTTGAAGTACATCATCAAACAGCCTCAGTTTCGAAATTAGATGCTGGTAGATGCTCAGTTCCCAGAGGACGGTAAACATTTAAAAACGTGTCCACAGTCCCCATCATCAAGCACACGATCAGTACACACCTCCGAAACGTCGGCCGATTTATAAGAGACTACGCGACGCCGTCAGAACCTGACATCTCACTTGAGAAAGCGTTGCTCTTACTTTCTTGTCACGTCTTTTCATCTTTAACTTTCATTTTCATCATTCATTTTACTTTCTTATTCTTCCTTTTCAGTTTTATAACTCCTCTTCTGTCTAATTTTCCTCATCGCCCTGATGATCGAGGCAGCAGGGACATCCGAAACGTCTGTAAACTACCAGACTACACGGTACAAGAGCCCAGGAGATAGCCATCATTTTCCTCTTGTTATCTTTATTTCCCCCTTCATCTATGGCATCTTTCTGTTACCGCCATTCGCGGGAAACCCGGATCGAAACCCTGACCTTCAAAAGTCCACACCAAGTAATTTTCAGGTAAGCGGGTCAGCTCCTTGGCCAGGTGATCAAACTACCTCAAGGTTTCTGTCTTAACGCAACAACAGACAAGAACAACCCCCCCCCCCACCACCACCAAGTTATTCAAACCAGACTCGATTTAAATCTAAATTTTTAAAAAAAAACAATAAATCTCAAGGATAATTTCCGGGGGGATGGACAGTAAAAGTGCTCGTAAGTCCAGAAATTAAGAATCACTGTAAAGAAAGAGTTTTACTAATCACTTAAAATGTCCCGTAAGATTGTCCAGCCCTGTTAGAAAGCCTTGGTATAACCACAAACATGAAACGGTTCCATATATTCAAACAATGAACGGAGAAACCGAATGGATGGACGCGACGGTAACAACGAACTCTACAGGCAGACAGCTGTACTAAATCTTAGTTGCTATAGAAACTGCAAAGCTGGAGAGTGACGTCACATGTTTCTGCTGTGGCCCACACGTCTTTATTACTACAAATAATTAGCAGGATTACTTAGCCTTTCTCGCCGGATGGAGCAGATGGCTGATTCACACCACTCACCAATTGTAGAGAAAATTCATTTCGCATACCAGAAAATTACTGTTATTTATTCAAATATCCCGCTCAAGCCATAAGTAACGTACTATTACGTTAATCATTAAAGAAGATTGTCACTGGACATGTATTCCGTACGTCATTAGAAAATGTCAGAAGATTTACTAAATGTCTTCAAATGCAATAATGTGAAAATCTGTTCATTATAAATTCATAAAAGGGGCCATTGTTTAAATATTTCGCAACAATGAGACGTGTCAGGACATCAAAGACGAACTAGTCACACGGTTTTAGATCGTAAATATGCAGCAAAATAGCTCACTTGAAGAGCTGTACCGGAACACCAAAACGTCATGAAAATTAACAATGAATCACAGCTAAAGCTTAAAATCAGTTAGCATTGGACAGATTTACAAGTTATAGGCTCTTAGTTGTTTTGTTTTTTTAAAATTAAGACAAGTCAGACGAATTACATGAACCTGAAAGTAAACAATTTCGACGTTTTTCTTCAAAGAATAATAACAAAAAAAAATGAACGTCACACAAAACACAGATGTCACTAAGCACTGTAAGTTTCACACAAAACATTTTTGAATGCTCGGAATATTTCACGTTTTAGTGCCCGGGAACAAACGGTACGCTTTGCTTGGGAAAACAAAACAAAACAAAACAAAGTATGGAGGAGAAGGAGGGAGAAAGAAAGAAAGAAAGAAAGAAAAAAAGAAAAAGAGAGAAAAAGAAACGGAGTTCACTACAATGTACCTCATCACCTTTTCTTTAATCCTAACGAAAGAGGAATGCACAGATTCGACCAGGCTGCCGTTTCATGAGAAATAATTTGTGGATTTGTGCTCTGTGATATCTGCGGTGGGTGTTCTCTCTGAACAACAGGTTTCTAACTTCAAAAATTAGTCACTCACCGCCCTGATGATGGAGGTAGCAAAAACCTCCGAAACGTCGGTAAACTTCTACCAGACTACACAGCACAACGACCCAGAAGACAACCACCTTCCTTCTCATCGCCGTGTAAACCTCAAATCCTACTTAATTATTTAAGAATTTTAATATTATCTCATAAATGTATGATTTAAACCACTGAAAAGGTATATTTCAAATTTCATAAAAATTTAATCTTGACAGTAATAATTTATAATTTACATATTCAAACTCTTTTAAAACATCACAAGACATTCCACTAATACGTATTTAAGTACTTAAGAATTCATCTGTAAAGTTGGCTTTTGCTAAATCAAAGTTATTCGCTTGTAAGGGCAATTTTGGGTTTAAAAAGTAATTTACTCTCTTACACATGACTTACTCAAATATTTTAGATAATCTGCTGGTGATGAAACTGGTCTGCCGTTATATATGCATGATTTTTTTATCAAGCAGTTTAACTTCTGAATATTTAAGACATTCTGTACAACCTCTTAATGCCACAGATTGATTGCAACAATAACTTAAAGCAACAATGACCTAGTAAAGATCTTCTAAGAGTTTAGAACTTTTGATTACATTATAATTTCTCCCTATTAATGGGGTCACATCTTCTGTTGAAAATTTCGCTGTTTCGTTTCCCACTATTTTCAAGACTGCTTTTATTTTATTATTTGATTCTAATATCTGGTAATTGTAATGCATACGTTTAGCCTCTTTAATGACTTGAGTAAGTACCTTGCAATATTTCCTGTTGAGAATTGTCATCACTTGGCTGTCACTAGTGACAATCCAGATAAAAATGTCGTTTATGAACATTGTGAAATACCTTAAGGCTCATATAACACATGTAAGAACGACAGGTAAGGCCTTGCGGCACGCAACTTTAATAATTACGTACGTTTCAATACCAAAAATGAACACGATATACTATTTTGAAGTCTTTACTACTATTTTTCATTACCATGAATATGAAATGTAATGACATCTCAATAACGGTCAATGAATTACATGCAACAACGTGACAAGACGAACTGAATCAGACAGGCTAATCGCTTTAAATGTCATCGGCTCTAAATAAAACACTTCAGTGCCGTTACTGACTCTTACATTTATTTCCTTGCTTCCTTACCTCATCAGGTTTCGGATGAACGTGGCTACAGTGTCTATGAACAAACATTCCATTCACATACATTACAAATATCGAAAGGAACAAAAAACAACGCGACTTCCACTTCTCCTTCGCGGCCATGTTTGATTCTTGCACTACATGGACGCTCTCTCGCAACTACCACCACGACTATCGGGAACCGACTGAGGAGTGAATTCCGTGATGTACCTAGCGGTAGTAGCACGTAACACAGAATATCATATTGGCTCCTCTGTCACCTAAATTTCTGAGTGGTGGCAGTACTGACAGTAGGGAATGTAAATTTGTTCAACATAACCTCTAAATTTCAAACAGCCCTTGCTGCAAACGTAATACCGAAAGAAGAACTACAATTTTTCTAATTAGAATGAAAAGGAGATTAGTATATGACGCAGCACATGAAGTGGAATGCGAAACTGAAAATTTATCCTTGCCGTCAGCAGAAAATTGTCAAATAGACTATGAGCCGACACATTTCCTAAGATGCCATTCACGAAAAAATGACCCAGCAGATGTTCAAACACAGGTAAACACTAGAATGTGATCAGACATTTCGTATAAAAATCGTATGATATAGCCATCACATTTCAAATCCACATGTCGAACCCCGAGAAAGTTTATTCATCCCGTTGTGGCACGTGAAAGTATTAAAAACTATTATCCCGCATTGTATGCTATCTATTTTATGTTTTACCGTCGGCCAGATTACATTTTCTCTCAGTATTTGATACCAATTAACTTTGAAAAATATAAAGCGGTATCTTGTATGGTAGTCGTCTCCTACAGTAGAACCTAACCTATATCCTAAGAGGGTAGTTGGAAGGGGTGGACTTCGAAATGCAGCTTAAAAGACAAACTGTTCTCATGTAAAAACTAACCTAAGGAGGTTACAAAAGACTGTTAGCCTCCTGTGTGACTTATTGGTATACATACATACCAGCTGTGAACACATTGCTTCTGTAATGCCGATATAAAATGTATCCACATTTTAAACCTGATAATTTCCAAATTGATCCATTCCCAGAAATTCTGCATACTTTAGCCTTTGAGGTGACCAGCTTTCAGAATTTATTCTTTGCTTTTCAGTGTCTGGCCTGAAAGCCAGAAATGTATCATAACTGAAGCTAATTTTACTTGTATCTCCTTTAGGTATGGCAGTGTGCCTTTGAACCTAACAGAGATGACCCAAAGAAAACCACGAATATAGTTGCAACATGTGGCGGAAATATCATTTGTTTCATCAATGTAAAAACAGGAGAAGTGACAGAGAAGTTCATTTCAAAGGACATAAGGTATGTTCTAACAGATGGCTGCCTTATGGGTTGTAAATTCGCCAGCATTTCAAAAGTCCTTGCTGCCACCATCATCAAGGCAATTAGATCCTCAAATGCTACTTTTGCATTGATTTGAAATGGTGTATGATTACATATGAAGATGAGACAAAAAACAATGTAAGAAAATAAGGAAATGCCAAGTTGTATGAAGCTACATATCTGTTTAGAGTCTGCCCATTTTAAACAATCTATGATGTGTTCATCTGCCAAACATACCATCCTAAGATTCCATCTTAAGAGATACTTAAAATATTCTAGGTAATATTTTATCCTTTATAAATGCAGTTGATATATTGAAGTTGTATAATTTTGAAGAATAACAGAGTGTCTTTGCTTCAAATAAATTTATTTTAATTTTAGAGAGATGTTCTACTCCATAGCATGGACAACTCTCTTTGTCGACTTGGTCGATCCCCCTCAGATGAACATATTAGCTGCTGGTGGAGCAAGAGGAACATTACATCTCATCCACCCAGAGGATGGCATAGCTTTTTTTGAACATCAGATCATGAGATCAAAGACAGTGACAATTAGCAGTTTGTTGTTTCATCCTAAACAATGCAACATCCTATTCTGTAAGTATCAGTTCTCTACCTGAACGCATGTTTCTGCATATCAGCGTGAGGAGAGAGGTCGGGAAAATGGCATAAATTTTGAAGACCTAGTAACATTTACGTTTTAATATATCCTGTGAATGTTTATGATGATTGGAGGTGAAACTCCATACATTATCAACCTCAACACTAAACAAAGGTATGATCCAAATGCTTTACCCCTGGGAGAAAAAGAAAAATCCTCTGTGGCCGCTAGGGATAAAACTTCACTCATTCAGTCCATAGTCAGACGCTACACTAAGTTGCCATAGCTCTCGTTATATAACCCATACATCAGTAAGATTATGATCAGTATAGTGGGGGTGCATATTTCGACAGAATGGGGACATTACTATTTTTCTGTCGTTGCCGTCTCAGGTGCCATGAGTGATGGACACGTGACAGGGTGGGACATCGGTTCTCCTTCTCCTCCAGATTATAAAATGCAGCTCAATCATCTCCTGACATTAGAAGCACGGTTGGAAATATTTAACCTCGTATATTCGCTGCAAGGAGATGTTCTTATGGCGGCTTGCAGCACTGGCGTATGTGGATGGATTGTAACGCGAGATACATTACAGAAAAAGAATGAAGGGTAAGACAGACCAGCGTGATCGGACACATTGTACAATGGTAATTTTTTACTCATGATAAAGCAAGAAGCTGTACGCCGACAATGATGGATAATAACCATTAATATTTGCTAGTAAGTGCGGTGGCTCCTGCCTCAAAAATACTTGTTACCAGGAATCTTGTCATAGAGATTTCTTGGGTATTTACATAATAAATCCACACCCACTGTTTAAAAAATTTGGTATTTTGATAAATATAAAGTAAATTGATTAATGATACATACTGAGAGCTGTCTGAGTGTGCAAAAACACAGAAATTCACTGACCTGATTACTTTTTCAGGAATTCAATAACTGTTTATTCATTACAAATATTTAATTTAATTAACTTTTAATTCCAACATTCACAAAACTCCTTGAAATCAAGATATTCAGAATCAGTACTGCCAACATAAAATATAACAGGAATGTATTCTTGTGTTCTCTCTCACAATTCAGTCTGCCGATGCTGAAATTCCAGTTTCCAAGAAAGCACGTGCAGGACACGAGCGAGCCTCAACTCGTTGACTCTCTGCATGTAGTGCAAGATGGCATAATAGCTACCAAGTGTGCTCTTCACGGTGTAATATACCTGTGGGACCTGATGGCAACACTGTCTGCAAGAGATGGTGAGGAAATCATTGCAGTGACACCAATCCATGTGCTGAGTTGGAGCAACACTGATAATTACTTCATGAATATTGGGTGTCATCCAGGTGAGAGCAATTCTAAATTGTTTCCTTCGCAACCAACATCATCCTGTAATTTAAAAAAATTAAAAAGTAAAAATTGATTCACCGACGGCTGTCATTCAATGAATTACACAGGTAAAAACAAACCTTGAAAAGGAAACTTACATTTCATCCTTTCGCAAAACACGCGTTTCCTCAGAACAGGAATTAAGTTCATCTTGGAAACTGATAACGTTTAGTGAAAATTATAATCAGACATATGGTCTAGAAATTTTTGAAGCAATATTATTTTCTAAGATGGCTGTTCTAGGATGATGCGCCATCAGTCTTTTACAAGTTTACCCGACATTTCAGAGGTTGAAGATTTCCGTCTTCTGGGTTGTTGCGCTGTGTAGTCTGGTCGATGTTTACCAACGTTTTAGAGGTCATCAGGGCGATGATTCATCGCCCTGATGACGGAGGCAGTATGACCTCTGAAACGTCGGGTTACATCGACCAGACTAGACGGCGCAACAACCCAGAAGACAGAAATCTTCATACTCACCGCTGTGAAAACCTCAAATCTTACATTTCAGAGGTTACCTTCATCATCACTCCAAAATGGTGTTACAACCCAGAAAACCAGCATTGACATCTACACCACTGTGAGAACCTCAGATTTTGTATGTTTATAGTTGACATCGCACTAGCACTGACGCTTGCCAATGTTCAGTTGCAGGCCTTCTTGCATGTGGAGATGACCGAGGGGCTCTGTGGCTGTACAGTCTCAGTGAAGCAATGCAGACAGAAGAACATGAAACCAAAGTGCAGCCTTTGGCCATCTTGGAGTGGCCAGACATCACAGACTTGAATCTTGACCGCAACCGTAAACTGCGCCTCGATGTGTATGATATCGTGGTGGACGGCGTGGCCATTAACTGTACCGGCAAATATCTGGTGGCCGTTACCAGTAACAATATGGTCTGTATATGGAAACGAGTAGAACAGACGGGAAGTCTGAAGAAATAAATGCTTTCTGTTACATAAAACTCGTGTCTTTACTGTCCCTCTTATACGCATACTTCACAGCATTAAATTCCCTAGACACTTTTACTGTCCCTCTTGTACGCAAACTTCACAGCATTAAATTCCCTAGACACGCCTGCAAAAACTGAACTACAGATAAGAGAATCACATTTGATATTTAATATTTACTCAAATTTATATGGACAATGTGGATTTTGACCCAAAATGGAGTTGAACATTACATGAAGATATTCTTATATAAATTCTGGGTGCTAAGTTCAAGCGGCATTATTATTATACTGTACATGGATTTTTGCTAGTTCATAAAAATCTATAATGAAAACATGTTTCTTTACCGCACCCTGCGGTTTCTCACAAAATGTACACTTTTGTGTGTATGGCAGGATATCATCATAGGAAACGGCTTCAAATAGGACTCGGTGGCAGATGATGATGGCAGGGAGGGGGAGAATTTGGGTATCAAAATATGAAGGAAATTTCATATCAATTGAACAGACATCAACTACACAATTTTTAATTAAAATCTTTTCAAATTTTTCACCGTTACAAACACCAGTAACAATATAAGAAATAAATAAAAATTCTGTGCAGTAATACCAACTCTTCCAATCACACAGTTCAATTTTCTAACACTGTACCCTGACAATTTCAAGGATTTCACAAACGACTTTCCTTTATGCTTCAGACACTGACTAAATTTGTTTTCATGAAAAGTCTCTGTTCACCAAAAACTCACTAACTTCACTAGAGGAAATTGGTAGTCCTTAATTAAAAAATGTCGTAAACATCGATTATTTCAGAACAAGGGTAAGAAATTAAAATTTCATTCGAAAGGGGATTAAGAAGAGATTAAATATGGGGGATGATTGCTACAATGCGGTTCAGAATCTTTGTCTTCCATCTGTCATCTAAAAATGCGAAAATTAAAACATGAAAAAGTAGAATTTTTGCCTATGTTATGTATGGACGTAAAACACATCTCTTACTCTTCGGGAAGAACGCAAAATTGTGTGTCTGACGATAGAGTTAGCAAATTTATGTAGTTAAGGAGAATAACAGTCGACGGGGGGGGAAATTAAATTATGAGCATCTTCAAAATTTGTATTCTTCACCTCATACTATTAATGATTAAATCAGAGACGCACATGACCCACAAAGAGGTGAAACATGATACGAAGTAGAAGAAAGATCAAAGAGGAAGAGGTGGGTAAGGGCATAAATTATGCATGAGAGAAATGCATTGAATATTTTAACTTGAAAACTACAAGACGGCAGACTACGTGAGACCTAACCATAAACGTGATATATATTAGATTCAACTGCATCAGGATAGGATCTAACGGGAAGATAAGCAAATACAAAAATTAACCTCTGGTTTCCAGAAAAACAGAGTAACTGACTTAACTCTGTAATCATCACAAGAGAAATACCATGCACAACACAATTAATTAGTTAATTATACTGAATTTTTACTCAACAAACAACTCTTGAGATTTTCATAGTGGTGAAAATGCGGACTGTGGTCATTCATAATAAAATGGCAGTGTGCAGTGTCACAATCCACAGTTTTCAAGGGATGCATCCGTTATATAAAGCAAGAATGTATAAAACAAGTTTGAAAATATTAACGATAAATACAGTACCCAAAATCCTACTTTCAAGACATATCAGCAGGTGAACATTGAATTCCCCACTTAATGGTACCTGCGCCTTGTCATGGTAGTGGGGCCGAGTACCTCAGTGACCCCAAGAGCTACTGGTAGAGCCTCCCTAGCCAGATTGGTCGAGGGGGAGAGGTCAGACTAAGACAGGTACCCTGGTCCTCCAGGTTGGGGGTTGGTCACATGTTCAAAAAACTTACACAACGCACAACACGAAATGTACAGTAAAGTCAATTTTCCACTTAAACACTGATTCAAACTAATTATACAATTACAAATGCATTATCAGACTGAGGTAAGCAATTCATGCTGCCCCCTGCCCCAAATATGAATTTCACTGTTAGGACCACACACATATTTAAAATATGACGTAAATTGACGACACTCATCTAAATGCCATAATTTCAGATTCTCATGATGAGTATTAAACACAACACGAACAGGGCTTACTACAGTAAAGTCAATTTTCCACTTAAACACTGATTCAAACTAATTATACAATTACAAATGCATTATCAGACTGAGGTAAGCAATTCATGCTGCCCCCTGCCCCAAATATGAATTTCACTGTTAGGACCACACACATATTTAAAATATGACGTAAATTGACGACACTCATCTAAATGCCATAATTTCAGATTCTCATGATGAGTATTAAATACAATTTTAGGTTTTCAAAGTGGTAAGTCCCAAGATGGCAGTCTTCTTGGTTGTAACACCATGTAGTCTGGTAGAAGTTACCAACGTTTCAGATATCCTTGCTGCCTCCATCATCAGAGTGCTACAACTCAAGAAGACATCCATCAATGACCTTGAAAATGGTTGTCGTCTACGATGTACTGCTGTGTAGACACGGACAGACATTCCAGGGCTTGCTACTGCCTCTGTCATCAGGGTAGATGGAGACAGTAAGGTCCTCTGAAACATTGGTCAGTATCTACCAGACTACACGGCATAATATTCTAGAGGACAGCCATTTTCAGTCATCCGATTGATGAAAACGCATATAAACTTCTTGTTCACAATACAAATGGCAAGAACTTTGCTTTGAGCAGGGCTGTTAGTTTACTAGACACAATACTACATATATTATTAATTAATTTTATTTCTGAGGTAAGTGAATAGCGTAACTCTAGAGCAAACTGTAAACCATACCCCGCAGTGCAGAGCAGAGTATGAACATTGGATGGAAATACAACACTGAACTTCACAGGCCTTTGTTGAAGTACACATATTTGGGTACCTCCCTTCCAGCGCAGGCCTCCTTCAGTTTGTGATACATTTCTGGCTCCAGCCACTCCAACGTAGTCGTTCTCAAAGAACTACAAATGAACAAAAGTGTCCTTTAAAAGATCTTAAGAGAAACAGTAAGTACATCAAACATGAAAAATAGCTTAAGTTCTGGTAAAGAAAAACTGTGCTTCGCTAAAACAAATCATTAAAAAGATGTATTTTGCATTAAGCTTCAGTCTCTTTGAATGAGGCTGTGCGTATTTTATACTCACCACCTCTGTGGAAACAGGCCACATGCTACTGGAACCATGAATATCAGGCTGGAAAATGATTCAGAAAAAAACATGAAACAAGCTGAATTATTTGTTGAATTTTGCTGACAAATCAGAGACTGAGTCCTCATACATACATAAACATCAAGACCACACCCACACAAAACATCATCTTGAAGCAACTGACAGTCATTCACCTGGTCCATGGATTCTATAATTTAAAATTATCATCATTACCATAACTGCACACAACAGAATGGACTACCCTTAATAAATTCGACTCGATTCACATCTTCAACATCTAGTGGTTTAGTAACGGAAATTTTGATCCACCAATTTCTAATACCTGAGCCAGTCAAGTTTCACAATTTCTGGTTCTTTTCATGAACGCACACGAGGTTTCATACTCACAAACACCCAACTGCCATTACTTGAAAAGGAGCATGGAGGGGTTGGATTCGCTGCACCCAGGGGTAGCGCTCCAGTTTCTCCATAATGACGGGTAGGATAGCTGAAACAGACATCCATTACATCTCTGTATCAGTTCCCGAGTTGATACCACAAGCACAGCTCATGACTTATGAACACGGTTACCGTGGCACCCAATATTTTTATCGTGATACTTAACATTTTAGAGAACTTAATTTTAAAAACTCCCCACTTAATGGTACCTGCACCTTGTCGTGGTGGTGGGGCTCGAGTACCTCAGTGACCCCAAGAGCTACTGGTAGGGCCTCTCTAGCCAGATTGGTCAAGGGGGAGAGGTCAGACTAAGACAGGTACCCTGGTCCTCCAGGTTTGGGGTTGGTCGCAAGGCTAACAACCTTGCACCGTAAAAAGGAAGATGTTTCAAAACCTCGATCAAAGCCTCAGACAGACGGACCTAACAGAGGACCAAATGGAAGAGGAGAATTGAGGAGGCCATGGACCGAATACGGACCGGAGAGCCATAGAAGAAGAAGAATTTTAAAAACTTATCATATTCACTTTTAGCTCCTCATTTCAAAATTATATTTTGTTAGGTGACAATTTGTTCTGGATTGTGATGCCATTAAGATGGAGACAGTATCTCACAAGTCCACACAGCAACACAACAAAGAAGAACACATCGCCATCTTCATCATTGTGATAACCTCAAATATCGCACACATTTTGTTAGGTCATCCATTCCACGCAGGCCCAATAATAAAGTGAACATTACAGAACAAGAGTTCAATTACGTACTTCAATGAAGTGTGTGTGTACGACGTACAACAATTCTCTGTATCATTAGTTTGTTAAAGGAATTATCACAAAAATTTAAAGAAAGGAGTAACGTGTTGCGACTTACTCATCCCCGGCGCACACATTACAATTCTGGAGAACACCACCTGCGAAATTCCTTTAACGGCCGCAACCTGTCGACAAAAGAGAGGGGCATCGGCGAAATGACATTTCTGGTATAAGACACGAAATAAATAAGAAGGCAAGGCATTATGCGTCGCTGCACCATCACTGTAGGGTTGAACGCATACACAGAGCAATAAATGAACGCAATCAAACATCTTTATACACTGGTTTGCCAAGATGCGCACATTTCAAACATCACACGTGAGAAAACATTAATAAAAAAAAAGTAATCTCCATAAAAGAAACAATTCTGGGAAGGATTTATGACATATGCTTCCCTTAAAAATGTATAAAATATAACAGTTTCGTGTCATCTCAGGAAAATGTCTCACACACAATTTGTATGTTATACATCTGACGGTATACAACAGTTAACTAGGGAAGGACAAATATGATGATGCAGTAAACTTGCGTCTTCGATTGAAACTGAAGTATGAAAAGTAAAAACAAACACATCAACTCAAGTGAAATAAAGAAAACACAAAAGATTCATCACTGCATTCATAAATACCTGATCGTACGCTTAGCCAGTTGAATACAGCCCAGAACTTCAAAAATATTTTTACTAAAGATTCATTAATATTACCCTCCCATTTATACCTACATCTCCTGAGCAGTCTTCTTTCTCTGAGGTTTCCCAGCCAAAACTTTTCATGCATTTTTAATTTCCCAATTTCCTTCATATCAACCCCTCCTTAACATAATCGTCTTAAAAATCTCACCCTTGATTTTGCAACTATATTTTCATTCTCGTCATAGACATCGATGCCGTGCAACAATTCATTCTGCCGCATCAGTGGGATATTCACACAGTTGGCAGCCGCCACAGCCGCAAATGGGACGTAACGCTGGAACACACAAAGTGACAATCAATCCGCTATAAATTCTTAACCATAATACCCCTAACATGTTGTAGCCTATAACAAACAGAACTCTGGTAATAGAGTCAAAGCCGTATAAATATTATTCCCCACTCAATGGTACCTGCACCTTGTCGTGGTGGTGGGGCCGAGTACCTCAGTGACCCCATAGCTACTGGTAGGGCCTCCCTAGCCAGATTGGTCGAGGGGGAGAGGTACCCTGGTCCTCCAGGTTGGGGGTTGGTCGCAAGGCTAACAACCTTGCACCGTAAAAAGGAAGATGTTTCGAGACCTCGATCAAAGCCTCGGACAGACGGACCTAACAGAGGACCGAATGGAAGAGGAGAATTGAGGAGGCCATGGACCGAATACGAACCGGAGAGCCATAGAAGAAGAAGTATAAATATTATTATCTGGTGTAAAAGAAGTCTTAGCATTTTTATTATATTTTTTTATAAGCAGAGATCCACATAAACCCTTCATCAATGATGCACAGCTGCGGATTATAGACACGTATATTCTGTGAAGTGGCTAGTATATTTAAGTTATATCCGTGGATGTCTGCCCCTACGTATCCCTATAATTGTCATAGACTTTTGAATGAGGAATAAAATTAAGATAAAATGAACAGAGAGACAAATTTGAGGTTTGATGTGATACCTGCAGCAAGGGAGATGCTTGCTTCTGCCAGAAAGCCTTGCAACCTAGCGCCGTGATCATCGCTGACGCCGTGGCTGATACATATGCCACACCGAGTTGTGTCGTAGTGGTTGGAGATTTGGCATTGCGATTTGTGTAGTTGACGAGTGCATTGAATGACTGATTTACCCACTGCCAAAATACAACAGCTGGTGCAGTTCTGAAAGTAATTAATATCTGATAAAATACTTTTAATTGTTTTTAGAAATATGGTAAAATTTCACGTATAACAGAGTCCTAATTATATATTTCACATAACAACACAAACAATTTTATAAGCTGTCCAGACACGCTCTTATACTGCAGCCTCGAATTTGATAAGTACAAAGGACTTCATCCTGGGAACAAATAAGTCAGCCGGGCCAAGAAGCTCACCACTCACCTCCATCTAGTGCCAAGGTTAAGAACACATGAAACTGTACCTCCACTCCCCATACGTTATCATAACGTACCTTTTGCTTATGCACCAAGGAAAAATTTACCTTTGAATTACATTCCTTTCCATTTTCAGTTTGAAGAGACCAACTGACAATTAAAAGTTTTTCTGAAAAGTTCACAACGACAATAAATTGAATACGACTGTCATCTGTCATTAAGATATGGACAGCTTACCGGTAGAACTGCAGCATGGCACCGGTAATCGCCATGCCCCCTGGTACTTGGAATGACATTCGGCCAAACACATTCTGCTTGTCCCCAGTGTCGGGATGAAATGCAGATTCGTACAGCTTCTTAGCATAAATAACTTGCTCCTCTGTCGTTCCTGGCGGCTCTTTACCTATCCTAAAATGCAGGTGGTACAATTTTACTTTCAGGGAATAATTTTAGACAACGACAAATTATTACACAGGTGGGATTCATACTGAAATCCCTCATGACTAGATTATAATGCCATAAACACGCCAAGTAAAGCCTGAGTCTCTGAAATGTGTAATAAAATTGGATGCCTGACTTATCGTAACACCTTGAACCCAAAAGATAAGTCAAGTGATGATCATTCATGTACTGTATTCTGGAGGTACCATGTTAAAATATGAGACATGGTAACTCATACAAAACGGTACATGATTCCAGACTGGACGACAGAAATTCGATCCCCAACAGAGGCAAAGGATTTTTCTTTCAGCTTCTGCATCCAGACCAATTCTGAGGCCCACTAGCCACCCAATCTCAAAACCGCATGTCGGTAACCAACTAATCTACTTCGTGGAGCAACAAGAGAAACTGACAGTCACTCAGCAAGTCAAAAAATTCACTGCCATCCACAGAACTAATTACCATATTCACATTATCCCAGCACCAGTCCCTGTCCTGCGCCAGACGAACCCAAACCACAAACTCCTGCCCCAGTACCTTGATATTCGTTTTGATATTATCCTCCCAGATATGCCTATGTCTTCCAAGTAGTCGCTTTCCTTCAGGTTTCAAAACAAACATTCTGCATACATTTCTCATGTCTCGTGCAAGTCATATGCCCCGCCCATCTTATCCTCATCCACTTTATCATCATAGGCTTAATAGTATTTGGTGAAAAGAATAAATTATGGAGTAATTAATCTTCTTTGCAAAGCACAAGTGAAGAGGGAAACATGCATGCTGCTGTGTCCAATGAACCCAGATGAAGTGTTTACCCACATGTAGAATCCCATAAGCAGTTCCTCATGCACATGCATGAAATAAGTCTTTTTCACAACACTAAAATCTATGACCAATCCTACAAATTTCAACGTAGATGTTCAACACACAAAGTGTACAAATTATGAAACATAACCTGGTGAATAGCAACGGCTGTCTTAAAAGTGAGGTGTCAGTAAGTTACATTATAATCTGTTACTAACATGAATTATCCTACTGCAAGGAACTCAAGTGGTCACTGTTAAGACATGTCAACATGAAGTATGTTACCAAGATGTAAATACAATTTGAAACATTTAATTTGTTACATCACTCATTTGTTATGTTTTTCGAAATAATTTTCGTGCATATAAAATCAATTTACACACTTAGTGAGGGCAGTACATACACTAAATGTACATCCCCATGAACAACACTGATTACAAAGCAATAATGAAACTCCGCACACAGGAGATGAAGGTAGGGAAAAGAATGCATGTCACAGGTTTGTGTACTAGAACCACAATCTGCAGGGATAAATTATGTTAAAATTTCACCTGTACTGTTCAACCAGCTGTTTCGCATCATCAAGGGTTTCTTCAGAAACAATACATGTACGAGGATCTGTCACCCAAAAGAAATGCTTAAGTCTTCCTGAGAACGTACTTTGATCCCACAAGGGTTTGTCAATGTCGAACCGATGTAATGCTTCCATAATTTGTCATCTAATTCGTAACTGATCGCTGTATTAATTCTCCGAATTAAGTTATACCACTATACACTAAATTAGATTAAATTCCAGTTTCGTATTTCATTCATCCGAGCTGCAGAACATTCACAGGCTGCTATTGATGTATGTGGAGCTACGCCCTGTTTTGTTAAGTCATGTTAGGTTCGAGACTCTTAAACAAAGAATATTTTTATCTGATTCTGCAACACAACCTTCTTTAGTGGAGAAACAACAGGACTACATCATTAAACCACATACGCGGCCGGAAACAAATATATTGTCATAGAAATTACCACACTGTGCAGTAAGTGCAATACAACGTACTACCAACACAAATTAATCTTCGTCAATGTATCATCACTTATAAATGCTGTAATTTCGTGTAGGTCAATTGGTTGCAATGACCTCAGCTGATGAACAGCTGATTACAGTGTGACCAATATCAACATCTGTCAGCAATGGTTTTCCTAGTCGTGTGAGATCGAAAGAATGCATTACACTAAGTAGCAGTGATATATTCAAATCTTAAATCTCAAATTTAACGTATTTTACAAAATTGAGGCGATACAACAGCAGCGCTAGTTTGTTTTAAGGGGAAAATATATTTTCATATAATTCTCAGGCACTGTATATTCTACCCAGCCCTTTACAACTATTTCCAGCTGACATAAATTATTAACACAGTCTTCTAGACTATTCAGTTTTCATCTCAAAGTTATTCGCAGGCAATTAAATGTACTGTAAAGCAATATTAAGAAAATATTTTATCCAATGTGCAAAACAAATCTTTAGTTATGCGTGAAATTGTTTCGTGCTCAATAATAATAGTTCAGTGATGCATCCGACTTTGTTTCCTAAACGTTATTGGACGCTAATAAAATGCAAAAATTATTAAAGTAAAAAAAAAAAAAAGAAGAAAAAGCAACTTTTCCATGTGTTTCACTTGTGCGCATGCCCAGTACAGTGATGTTCGATGGTGGACCTACACACGGCAAGCCTCGCCAGCCTGAAACACGAACGAGACAGCCGGGGCAATAATTCTCCCAGCCAATATGGCGGACGTGGAAACACATACACAGACAAAAATAGTAAAAAATTCTAAAATATTAGTAAATGTCGAAGAAGCCCTTCAAGATATTTTAGTAGTGTCTTATGCGTTTGAAAACAAGTTGTACCAAGGCGTTCTACTGGATTCATCGAAGAAGTGAGTAGAAATTAATTTTCAAACTCCACCCTTGTTTGTCATGCCAACACTGCAACTTTCAGAATGAGAGCTATCTGTTGCCTCGTTGTATGCACATATTCCAGGGGCTTTGTTGTAATAACCGACTATAAATGAATCTTGATAATTTTGTGCGCCGATTGGTGTATAAATCAGAGTGTTTGCCCCTACAGTAACGAAGTTTGATATCTTGCTTTTAATCCGGTTATATACCTTTGCAGTATGCACTAGGAGCAATATGCAGCCATGTTAGGACCGTTCGCACAGTGATAGTTCTTTGTTTAATGATACGTATACTGGGCATATGTATATAACTATATGCCGTATTAATTTAGGTATAACGTATCGAATTGTTGTTATTTTGTTATAATATTTCTGTTCACACAAAGGCGTTAGTTTAGAACTATAGTGCATAATTTGCGTAATTTGTGTAAGTGAAAGAACATTTTTAATTTACACATCAGTGTAGTGCGAACTGTATGAAAACCATTCTCCGTAATAATGTGACGAGTTTTTAGGCTGGAAATACGATTATTTTGTGTAGAGACGTGCATCGCATTTGTCGGGAAAAGTCAATCGCGAACCCCCGGCAGTGACCCACTTGTTCACCGCAGTTCGCTACCACAGTCGGTTCGGTGGATTGGTACGTGTTGCGTGATTCGATGTGAAAAGACTCTCATAATTTAATACATTGAAATACGTACACAAGGCAAATTGTGCGTTGCCGATTTCTGAATTAGTATTTGATTTACGCATTAATGTGCATCCGGCCTTTGTTTAGTAAACGTGAGCATAAAAACAAAATGTGTTAAAGTCAGTCGTGTATTTTTACGACAACGTTCATGATAGCGATCTTTCTACAACTTGAATTTGGTGTTCCGTTTAACGTCAATTATCAAACATTCCTGTACAGATAACGCATTTTTGAACTTTGTTGCGTTTAAAAAATCTTACACAAAGACTGAACGAAGGCGGATGTCATAAAATTTTAATCACATATGAAGTTGATACGTCACACTGGCCGCGCGGTCTGAGGCGTGGTCCTCGTGCGCTTGTACACTGGGACCGTGGGTTTGAATCCCACTCGGGGCATGGATGTTTGACCGCATTTTTCTGTGTTGAGCTGGCTTTGCGAGGGGCTGATCACTCGTCCAAAGAGTCCTTCCAGATTAATAAATAAATATATATAGCACTTCTGTTTCGTATTTGGGAGGTCCCGCATTCAGATCGAGGCCCAGAGAATGGCAGCCCTTTCTGGGGATTTCTCTGGTTTTATTCAGTCGCTCCAGACAAATTCCGGGATTGTACCTTATATTAAACCACTGTCGCTTCCTTCCATATCCTTTCCACTTCATTAACATCCTGTATACAAGTAAAATATACACAAAATTCATGTTATCGCCTTAAAGTTAAAAGATTTTTTTTTAAAAATGGTTTAAAACAATCCCAATCCGAGCTAAAATTATTACTGATATCGAAACCATAGGAAAGGTTACCTACTTTAACTAAGGCTTTGACCGGGATGTTCGATTCGACTTCTAATGGTTAAGTGAAGTGTTTTCTTCGCGGTACGGTCTGGATTCGTAAATATTATGAAGACGAGCTTCGGCTTCAAAGGGTTAACCAGCTGATTTTCGTAATGGTGAGGTGTAGTGTTTTCTTCGCGGTACGGGCTGAATTCTTAAATAATATTCAGACGATCTTCGGCTTCAAAGGGTTAAGGAGATACGTCAACAATTGAAGATCTCAAAATTAACCCAAAGGAAACCCTGGAATGAACAATTCTAGTTGTATATATGATTACATGCAACTCGGTCAAACTGTGCTTGGATGAAAAATGAGTTAATTTGTGGCATGAAATTTTTGTCTTGTCTGTACATACGTCACTACTCATTGTTAGGATATCCGGTTTTCGTGGCAGACATTTGAACCGAGTATCTCCACAATACGAGTCAGACATTCCAACCATTCGGTTTCAACAATCGGTCCATGTATTTTATGGACGTTAAAAAAAAACTGGCTTCCACTCTATCCGCCGAATTTCAAGGGCTCAGACGTCAATGTACTTCCTGGCTGTCGTATGAATCGTGCCACCGAAAGAGAAAGCCGATACCGAACCAGTTTTCCGTCTTTCAGTTCAGATCCTTTAGTCGCCATGTTAAGTAACAGAACTTTAGTCATATAATTGGTTAAGATGTGACGTCATTGTTCAATGTCTGCTGCAACTTTGCGAGGGTACAGTTAGTGTCATATTATTCTGCCCAAATGCAAAATCAATCACTGTTGAGTATTTGCCCTGTCGTCACCCTTATTTTCTATTCACCTGCCACCCTCAAAATCGCTAGTCAAGTATTTAAGACTGAAAAAATGTAGAATCGAAACTGCATGGCCGGTAAACAATGTGACAGGATTTTTTTTCTCGTTTTAACTTTCTAACGGATAAGCACATTCCATAACTGTTTTAGAACGTTTCTCACGTGCCGGTCCACTGAAATAGAGAACGTTCCATTTGAAACGCTCCCCCCCCCTCAAACTTCAACACGTTGGCCCCTTATCGCAGACCATTGTCGACAGTGAAACACCTCGTGCGTCCCAACGTTTTGTTACCAGTCGGTGTATTGTTGTCTTTTTCGAAACTTCATCGTTAAATACTTCACGAAACAGCGGTAAACGATTTCGATACGAAGTAATGTTCAGCTTTTGAAGGTGCCATGTTCGCATCTGTTCAGAGTCTGCGCGATTCGCGTCAGGCGACGAGGGTGACCTTGTCTCGCGACTGCGTGTTGCCCAAGACGTTTTTCACACCCCTGCGATGCGAGCGGTTACCGATGTCACCAAGAACAAAGATTTTCATTCTTATATATGCAGGTGTGAAAACTTACAAGCACGGATATTTTCCGTTTAACAAGAGATAATACCACCCGAAACACGTGAGATATTGATCTCCGTATACAAGAGTTGTCATATCGCAGCACGAGAAATGTTTTTAGAAATGCTACTAGCGATACACATTCCATGCCACTGCAAATTGCCAATAATTGCAAAACCAGTTTACAGCCACTGTGTGTTGCTGTATTGATTTGATGCCAGTCGTCCGAAAGGGAATGGATCCACCATCATCATCATCACAATAATGCAGATCTTTACTCCCTCCACCGCACTCCACCCCCTGGTCCACCAGTTCCGTTCATCATTCATTTTATTTTGTTGTGTCTTATTGTTTTGTTGTGTCTTATTGTTTTTATTGTGTCATGTTTTTTGTCTTATTGTTTTGTTCTGTCTCATTGTTTTGTTGTGTCTTATTGTTTTTGTTGTGTCATGTTTTTTGTCATACTAGAGCAGAGCGCTCCTTTCGGAGCGCCTCGGGGGGCTTGGTCAAATTTGTAAAACGCAACCAACCTTGTGTAAGAAACTAAACTAACCCCCCCCCCCCCCCCCA